ATTGATGATTTGATGTTTATAGGAAACAGTACAAAAATGATAGAAAAGTTCAAAAATGATATGATGAATAAATTATGAAATGAGTGATAAGGGAATGCTAAGTCACTTTCTTGGCATTGAGATATATCAAGAGAAAAATGATGTATTTATTTCTCAAAAGAATTATGTGGATAAGATTATGTAGAACTTTAATATATCTGAATGTTATCTTGTCACAACACCATTAATAGTTTATGAAAAACTAAAGATAAAAGATAAAAGGAAAGATTGTTGCTACTCTTTATGTTTTCTAGAACCTAATCATTTATTTTGGAGCTGTTAAGTATATTTGATTGTAGGTTATAATTTTACCATCAATGTCAAAAGCTTATTTTTGTGAAGGAACAGTAGTTAGAGAGAGATTGTGCAGGAGCACATTCTAATTAATTATTTAAGTTGAGGTTGACTCCACTCACTTGGTGGACATCCTCAATTAGGGATGTTTTCAATTTATTTTCAATTTATGTTACTCATGTTTTCAAGATGATAACAAGGTCACTAATTGGGTAGCAATTTTTGAAAGATCAAATAGGCAAAATTATTTTGATACATACGGGCCAAGGGTAACTTTTCCCTACTAAAGCCTTTCACTCTGTCCAAATACTAATTCGAGCAAAAGCTTATATAATATACTTATCAGATCTATATAAGTTAATCATAATCTTTACTCACTTTCGAACTAATTCGGGTGTTACAAAAGTTGTCTGTATTTGAAAAATAAAAACATCTTTTTCCTAAACAGCTGTGGAATTCCAACTGAACCCACCTGCAAAATAGAAGACAAATTAACACTAATTGTGTCACCAGTCTTCTCTTGCAACTGCGTGGAACTCAGATGTCTAAAGAGAAGAAAGAAAGCCAAAACCAGAAAGCATTAATGTTTCTAAGAACAATCTAAATAGGAAGCCAAAGGCTTTCGCCACTGCCAATAGTCAATTAGTTTCTTCACCATCTCTCCTCAGTAGGATTGCATCAAGTTGATCCCATGTTATTTAAGGATCTCTGACAGAAGGAGACAAAGAGGACTCAATCCTCCATGAACTCAACATAGTTTCATGAAAGCATCACCGCTTTCCTGTTCAGAAAACAAAGGCTTCAAAAAACAGCTGCGAAACGATCACGATCGAACACCTTCCAGTGCTCGCCCATCTCCATTCATCAGCTGAAACCTCGAGGGCTTGGGCTGGAAGTTCCTTCGCCGCCGGAGGTCGTGACTCGAGGGGTTTATGATCTTTAACAGCACAGCCCTCACTGACCTCGCCTTCGCTTTCGCTGCTCCTTTCAGCTCCTTCACAGAGTGAGCCGTCGACTGGCTCGATATCTTCCGAGTGCTTCTATGGAGGTTGCACCTGAATGACCCCGGATGCGTGGTCGGAGCGCAAAGGCAGGTCCGGGAAGAGGAAGAGGTACTGCGAGGTGGTCTGGAGGAAGGGGATGAGTAAACCGAAGCCATAGGCAGATTTCTAGAGCTTGTAGTCATTTATGTGGCGTGAAGAGCAAACTCCGTGGGCTTGGTTTGGGGTGATCTATATATGAAACTTCCATGGATGGCATGATGACGAAAATTAGAGCCGCCGCCATGACTTTTTGTAAAGGAAGGTGAATCGACGATGACAGGAAATGAGTCACTTGGCACACTTTCTTTGTTGGCAGACGACGAAGACTTGGCCTAATCATTTGTCCTTTGCAAAGATCCACTGTTATCCATGACATCAGAGTTATCTAAAGATGTCTCTTAGTGGATGAGGACGAATCGAATCAGACAAAGAGCAACATGAAGATTTCATATACGGAAAATTCACCTCCCAACAAGTGGAAGCCCAAAGCTATCCATATATGTGAGACGATCAAGTGCCTCCAACTTGTGGAACTATCATAACACCTTCAGCTCGTGACCGAAAGTGACGACGCCTTGAGCATTATCCCTTGGCTTAGCAAGCAGAGAGACTGCATGTTCATCCTCCCTCTCTAGGACAGAAGAAACAACAAATTAGCAGGCTCAGATCCGATTGACATGAGCTTCCTTCTACAACTCTCACGGGAGGGTAACACACAGTCGTCTCCTTCATGTGATGGGCTGCGCAACACATTGGAGCTTGACCGGTACGCGGTCAAACGCCAACTGATGCAATGCACCATACGGTCGAGAAGCTGCTCGTTAGGACGGACGCATTAGAAGCTTAAACGTATGGCGACGTGAAGGCCATTTGATAAAGACCGATCGTTGGCACGATCAATACGTATAATATTCGTCGACCCTAATTAGTCGTCGGAGATTACGTGTCTTGATAGAGCTGATTGAGACAGCATCCACGAGTACCACATGGATGGCTATAGTATTATATTCTATAACGAAGGTCTGGATGTGGTGGCTGCCATTCCAAGAGTAGCAAAGAAGAGAGAGAGAGAGAGAGAGAGAGAGCATGTGTTATGATCAACTTAAGCTACCTAAGTCAATGCATGGGTAGCAGCACATGATTATGATGAGTTGGTTTGGAGATTCATTTTGTTATATATATATATATATATATATATATATATATATATATATATATATATATATATATATATATATATATATATATATATATATATATATATA